ACGATTTAACGTTTTATCCAGGTCACGTAAAAGAGAAAAAGGGAGAAATGGAGTTTAACGTCCACTCGACACAAACTAGGTCATTTCGTGACAAACATGGTTCAATTGTATTTCAATAAGTCGCTTGGGGTTGGAGTCTTTAGCAGTGCGGGGGGGGGGGGCAGAGAACCCGGAGAAAACTCACGAGGTTGGACATAAGATCATACGCCTTGTCACGTACAAGCGGGGAATCAAAACCACGCCACTTGACTCAATGACAAACCTTCTGATACAACGCGTGCACTTTAATCATTCGCCCCCCCCCCCACACACACACACACACACACACATACACACATAAAAGAACCACTGGCATTTGGTATAGGACGAATAGTAGGCTGTCTGGGAAACATTTCCTACATAGCACTTTAAATGGCGTATGTTCATTGGTGGCATAAAGTAGGACGTTAAGTCCAATTTCATTTCATTTGCATTAGAAATAAAAAGGATACATACATTGAAAAAATCAACAAGCAATAGATAAAATTGAATTTGTATAAAGTTTTAACAGTAGTAAGTCACGCTTGTGGTATTGTGATTTCTCCATTGATTCACAGACGACAAAAATAAAATAATCTTTTTTTTCTAATCTAGAGAAAATTTCACCAAATCGACAGCTTCCAAAAAACTCAAACTGACAAATTATTGGTGTAAAATTGATCGAGGCTATAAACATAGAACGCCTGGTAATAAAAGACTATCTTTTATATTTATAATTTTTTCTTGGGGAGTGGATAAGTTGAGTTTTCTAGCGATAAAACACTGACATCAAAAACTACACCAAACAGTTTTTTGTCGCTTTTTATTGATTTGAGAAGGTCGGGGTGGACAGAAAATGTTCTTAATTAAATTTCTGTCCTATTAGATCACGAGCGTAGAAACTGTAAATATTTTCACTGTTTGACGCGGACAAGAGATTTATCATTTCCCCAGAATAATTTCAAATAGGCTCGGTGTTGTCATAAATACCATTAAGACGTGTTAAACTGTAACTTCTTCAGCTTTTCGCTCAAACTCTCCACCCTTAATCATGTTACTGACAATTTTCTCGTCTAAATAGACAACATCAAAAAGATTGGATCGGGCTACTCGGTCGCTTCCTGTTCATTTTGCTACAAATGATCCATTGGCAACATTGTGTATACTTCAAGAAGGGGTCGGCTATTTGCGAATTCAACAATATGCAAGGCGTATGCAATTAGGGACGTTTTTTCTGATAAAGTTAGAGTTTCTTTTTTGGGAAAATTGATCAAATTAAAATGAATTTCAACAAAAGCATTAGAGTCTATAATGGGATTTGGGGGTTTCATTACGTAAGAGCCTCAACGCAGTATTACTTTATGAGGAATTCCGGTAGGGAATAAATTTCTGAAACGATTCTTAAAGATGCCTTCTTACAATTTGATGAAATATTTGAACTAAAAATTTATCTATCAAAAACTTGCTTCGAATCCCTCTCAGAAAATTTTAATCGCATTTAAACTATCCCATGCCGCAAGAATCTATTTTAAGCAGCCATGTTTGTCACGTGACTTGATTGAGGGAGAACCAATTTACCATAAATATCGAAGCCTTAGTAAATTTTTAATTTATCATCTGCCAACATTTTTCTATGCCGTTTAATCGCAGAGTCTAAGGAATGTTTAAGTCTTTCAATGTCTCGCAACCATTAGCTTATAAAACGCGCCCATTACGTCACATGAACAGACAGGCTGCCATTTTTGTATAAACAATATTAATGACTCCGTTTATTCTTTCATGTGGGTGCACCATGGATGTTTTGAGGGAATCCGGTATTTTTCTAGTAGGATTAGGTGTCTACTTTCTGCATGTACGAAATATGTCAGAATGTTATTAGCTATCTATCATATAGCTATAAATACTTTCGTGGGAATGTATCTTTAAATTCATTTAATTTTAAAAGAACTGCATTCCAATTTTCTATAAGTACAAATCCAATAAAAAAAAGTTTAAATTCTAAAGATACGAGGCCCTGGTGGTTATGACCTCTAGTTTACCTTCTGCTCATAGCGTCATAGATTCAGTTGTGGTGGTTTAGTTCTCAGGCTCGCATGTGGTATGAAGTAGGCTCGACTTCCTAACTTCGTGGGGATTTCTCCCACTGCGTAACACCCATTGAATAAAATAAATAAAGATATAATAAATATACTCTTTCCATTATCATTAGAGTTCCGAAATCTCTCTAACCTACACTTTCCCAAAAAGGTTAGTATTATTATTAGAGTTCCGAAGCCTCTCGAACCAGGTGGGTGATTTCCGATTTCCTGTCACTGCTAAAGGCCCCAACGCTTGTACGCTTTTTCTTACTGGGTCCTCCGGTTTCCCCCCACTGCTAAAGGACCCATAAGAGCTAGCGAATTATTGAAATACAATTGAACCATATATTATTAGTCCTGAAATGACATAGTTTTTGAGGAGTGGACGTTAAACACTCTCTCGCAACTTCCTCGGCCAACACCAGGACCGAACCCGCGACCAAAAGAAGTAACGGGAGTTGGGTAAGAATGTATAAAGATGCTATTTTACTACATATGCTTACATTCGTATTTCGTGTAGCATATGGCAGATCATGACTCATGCTGGCATTGCACAATGGTTTCTTTGGGTTGTATTTCTGATTGTTTTATAATATTTAGTGAAGTCTGTGTCACTACAGACCCGGGACTGTACATCGTAGTGGACGTTTACGACTAGCCCCCGGATCCATTCACTTTTTTTTAATTGTCTGTCTGTTTGTGTTTTCCTGAGTATGATGTCTTGTCCGTGTATTTGTTTGTGTAAATTCTGTGTGGTGCAGTCCCCCTGCACTTACTATTACAGTCACATTATAAAAATATCCAATGAACAAAAATTGTTCCACTGCTATGTAAAACAAGCCAACAGTGAGGCTTATGTCCCCCGCCGAAATCCGAAAAATAAATAGATAAAACATATTAATTAATTGCACATTTATCTTTTTCATACTGATTATCTATACTTAGTCTAAACAGAAAATGTTCACGATCAGACCCAGTTAACGTTTTGAAGTACATTAGAATCAGTTATCTTATCCCAAAGCATCGACAAATGAACTTGCTTAGCTCTGCTTGGCTTTAGTGGGAAATTTTAATCACTGACCAATCAAATTACTTATCGCTACTTAGCCTAAGCAGAAAATTCTCATCATCGAACTTTGTCAAGGTATTGATATAAGTTCATAGGTCTCACTTAATTGACACTTACACCAAGTTTGAACATTCTACCTCAATTAAAAGGAGAGTTATTGCGTTCCAAAGCCTAGACCAATCAGATTGAAGTATCTACTTTGACTAAGCAGAAAATGCTCAGCATCGAACTTTGTTAAGTAAGGTATCGAAGTTGCACCACTATCATTGAATTAGAATCATAGTTGTCGAGCTCCAAAATCTCGACCAATCAATTTTTTTATCGCTCTGCAAATCACACGCTTTAGGTACTACTTGAGAGATGGAAAGTGGCATATTTTGGTAAACATCACACTTGTAACATAAAGCACGGCGTTAACATTCCAATACTTATCTTTAAGTATGCCGAAATTCAAACATTCCCTGGCGCCCTGGGAAGACAACCTTTCCAGATCCCCATATGCCAAAGGGGATAATAGATTTTTATAGTTTTCGTGAAAAGCTGGAGTTGCTGTCTGGCTTGACTACGAGTCAAATGCTCGATGCAAATTATTAAGTCAATTTCAATCGTCTGGAGCTTATACCAAGGGGGACAAATCTAGTGGCGCAATGGATACAGACCACAAATGTTTTCCTCGTTGTTCATTTTATTGCGTCGCCAAGCTCAAACTAAATTCAGTTATAGAAGCGGCCAAGCGAATATCTACTGCCGATGAGTTTGCATGTGGCAGTATCTTCAAGGTCATATCTTCAACGGGGCTCAATAAACTCAAATCGGAAAGTTTAGGTGAAACCGGGTTAACTCATATTTGATAGATTATTCAGAGTATAATCTATGTTAAAAAGGCAGATAACGGTAGCAATCGTTCAATTCTGGATGCAGGCACTAAAATTTGCATAGGTGCTCGCTTGGGTTCATTTATTAAGAAGATTACGTCATTTTGCACAGTGGCCTGAAATTTCTATTTCACTGAACGCCATTTCAAATTTTTAGTACCATCCGAACAACTAGTCGCTGTTATAGGCCAGACCCTCCTTCCTATGCCAGTGCGAAAGGAAAACACCGGCCAACAGGGAACTCTAGAGATAACAAAGACCATACACGAAATAGGGGTGGTGAAATTACTTAGGTTGGTATCCACTGATATGACACATCTATACATAAGCAAACTACAACACTGTCGGGACCGCCTGGTTAGCGAGTCAACGCTTTAATCACTGAGCCACTATGACGTCCTAATAAATTACAATTTCTAATTCGATCATTGAACTTGCTATAATGTTTTTCTTAATACATTATCACGGTGCACATTACTCTACGTGTAATTCGGTCAGAAACTTGTAACGAAAGATTATCAAAGACATTGATCCCTTCATCTCTACGGGTAGCTGTGCGTTTAATTAAGACACGTGATAACCTCTCACATCTGATTGGTGACAACTGTTAATATTTTCGTGTGTTAATTAACTTTCTGGGCCAACACCAGAATCGACAACGGGGCCTCCTAGCTATCTAAAGACGACAACTGATTCATCCCTCTAGTTTAATTATGTAGATTGGCTTCTGTTTTTTAGAAAGGTTTATGATATCTTACTGTGTTAAATTATTACTTACGTAGAGTTGTAATTAACTGAGCTCTTAGTCGTTCGGGTGGGACCAAAAATCTGAGTTAAAAGAAGACTTGACAGTTGGGAAAAAGTAACGTTATAATTTACAACGTTGACCGACTGGTTTAAGATAATAAGGGAAATAACTCTTTCATAACAAATATATTTTATTCTATAAAACGAACAGAATATAAGTATTGACCATTGTCAGGTAAATTAACACCGGTAACTATGAAACGAGAATAGGTTAAACAGATTTGGTCCATTACGGCGAATCGTACATTCCGGATATGACTAAAAAGTACGAGATCTGTTACTGTTACTAAGGGGATACTCTGGCAAGGGACGACGTATAGTCGCCCGGGTTGGTCGAAAAACCGAGGTCCCGTGTACACATTTTCGTGCACGTTAAATATCCCTTGGCAGTTAAAATTCGATATAAGTGTAGGCCGCAATGCCGCTGTCGGGGCAAAATATCCCTCATGGCACAATGTATGGCGTATTCTCTCGGAACGTCCCGGACTGATAAGTACAGATCGATTGCAGCTCAATTGCTCTATCAGTAAAACCTAAAGTTTAATGATTCATTATGTAAAATGTAGCGTAAATCGTTTATTAGTAGCCTTGATTATCTACTTATATTTTTTATATCTCGCGGATGATCAAATTCATTTAAATCTCGGCCACCCGATGACCCAGAGAGTTGATTATATGCTTGCCAGGTGAATATGTCTAAATAATAGTTAATATAACAATTGGGAGTTAATAGAAAGGCCTGCAAAAGGAAGATTTAGCTTCGCTTAAATATGGTTTCAGCGTCATATGATCTTTCACAAGTCATCAATAACCACATGATCATACGTCAGTATTTCTGATCGAGTTTGGTTTTCAGAACTTGTTCTCGAGTTCATGCCGAGAGTCCTAATAGATCCCCGGTCACTGGAGTCCGTGTCTATACCCAGAACCTGTCTAGAATTGTTCAGTCTTTTCAAAGTATCCCGTTTTTTAAGTTCTGAAAGAGAAAACACTGAATATGCGTTAATTAACGTCTTGAAACCGGGTTTCCTCAAATGTTCCCCGCGTTTTATGCCAAATTTCGACTTCGGAACGGACGAGTCGGTCACTCCCGGTAATTTCCGGAAAGATTTTGTGCGGGAAATTATTTTACTATTGGAACGTTCTAGCGGACTTACAACCAATTTTTTTAAAAAGTCGTCCGTGGAAGGTCTTGACATGCGCATCAGATCCGGTTGCTTTTCTTCAGTTGTGCCATTGACGTAACTGGGCGTCGGTTGCATAAAAGGCAACACGGTTTTTTCATATTTCTTTTCACCGTTGTTTAAGACTGGATCTACCCTGTCTACTTGTCTCTGGTTATCCTTTAATACATGGTCGTCTTGATTTGAAGAATTATTATTATCCAGAGCGATGACGCGATTTTGGAAACAAAGACACTTGCTTTGTATTTGTGTTTTTAAGTTTCGGATGGAATGTCTGAAGTCTTTGTTCAAGATGATGAAGATAACCGGGTTTATGGAACTGTTGGCGAAGGCAAGAAGTGTCACCAGCAGATCGGCTATATACGGCACCGGTACCTCCTCGTGATTTACAGACCAGAAGTTTAAAATAACATACGGTCCCCAACACATGAAAAATACACCTGAAAAAACAAAAAAGAATCAATTGTCAAAACAAACTTCGAATGATTGGGAGACGAGACCCCCGCGCCAGTTTTATATCGAGTTGCATCGACAGGTATGTATGTTGGGATTGATTTGGCGCAACGGTTAAAGGGTAGAATTTGTGACCAAACAGCTACAGGTTCGTGTGTCGAATCGTGCGTCGAGTTCTTGTGTCCTTTGGGAGAGAGAGAGGGAGAAATGGGGTTTAACGTCCACTCGACACAAACTTCCATGTCATTTCGGGACTAACATATAGTTCAATTTTATTTCCATAATTCGCTTGCGCGTAGGGGTCATTAGCAGTAGGAGGAAACCGGAGGACCCGGAGAAAACCCACGAGGTTGGACAGGCGACCCTACTCCTTGTCACGTACAACCGGGGAATCGAAACCACGGCAGTTGACTCAATGACAGACTTTATGATACAGCGCGCACGTACTAACCATTCAGCCATCCAACCCCACTTGTGTCCTTTTGACATAGTGATGCGCATTATAAATATACACATTATTATCAATATTCAAAACAATCAAGAAATTAGTTCTGATGGTACAAAAAAACCGAGATCCCTTATGCACATTGGTGGGTATATAATGGAACCCTTCACATACGGAATTCGAAATAAGAGTAGGCCATAGTGCCACTATCCAGGCAAAATTACCCTCATAGCTCATTGCATGTTCGTTTTCATTAGCCCGGATAAAGCAGAAAAGTAGGACTTTAAACCTATTTCATTTCATTTCATTTCAAATTATATCCCATCATCTTCGATAATGAGGAAAAGTATTCGAAATCAAATAGCGTAGTTATAACATTTCATGATAAAAAAAAGGCGTATAAGTATCCTATAAAGAAACGCAAGCATCATAGAGTCTATAGATAAATTTCAAAGTCGTTTGGTGCAAGATGCTCTTGGCTAAAAATACTGTTGACTTTTGATATTCTTTTCTGTTAGAAGAATCATTTCAGTTCCGAAAATATTGTCACTGGACACAAAATAAGACGTCATTCATGAACCAATCAATACACGGTTATTGATCATATGATTATATGATAGCACGTGACCGGAAGTTGTGGTAACTATGAAAGAGTAGAATCAACAATAAGCTGAAAGCCTGGAGAACATAAAATATAAAATGTAGACATTTGATCAATTAATGATCGTATGGTCGGAAAGCAGAATAAATTGATTGAGTAGCAAATTGGACCATTTTTCATTAAATAAATATAGTTTATTGAAAGAATTTCATAGATCACCGCCATAGATTAATCAAGCTGGATTATTACAGTTTTTTTGTATTAAAAATTGCAAGCGTCATTGATCGATACGTGATCATAAAACTAGTATAACAGCCCAAGAGAAAAGATCAAATTACCGGGCCGTGTTGATAGCAACGACTGTTTTAAAACGATATAATTGATTATATACCAAAGATCGATTTCCACTGATGGGTTCTAGGGTAGTTTTTTTTTCTCCGGGAAAAAAAACCGACATCACTTCCATGATCGATTTCTACTCATGGGCGCTAGGTTTTTTTCTCTTAGTAAAAAAAAACAAAAAAAACATAAACGATATGACTTCCAAGCGACATTAACAGAAATAGGCTTCAGATCAATGGCGTTGATTTATGACCGATGAATGTTTGTGGTTGCGAAAAAAAAAACCTAATCGAAATACAATGTTTTCATCTGAAGTACCTGAGAATCCTTCCATAAATTGAACACGAACTCGTTCAAGCTTCTAGAAGCTAGGCCTTGGCGTAAAAGGAATTTTGTGTCATAGACATTATTACAATTCTTTATCTTTCTATACTTCTATAGGTTGGGTGGCTGAGTGCGCTTTAGATCATAAGGTCTGCCATAGATTTATGTGGCGTGGTTATGTGCTAAGGAGTAGGGTCGCCTGTCCAACCCGTACGCGCAAGCGAGATTTTGAAATAAAATTGAATCATGTTAGTCCCAAATGACCTAGTTTGTGTCGAGTGAACGTTAAATCCCATCTCTCTCGTCTAGTCGCAGGAGTCTGAAGAAAATCCGCGGCCCGATGTGCACGCAAAACAAAAAAAATGGCAGAAACGCGAGAACACCGCTGACCGGGCAAAATGTCCCTCATAACACATTCTATAGTGTATGCCCGTTAGCATTATCCCGGTTGGTTTAGAAAACTAAGACGTTAAACCCTATTTCATTTCAATCACCGATCCTATGTTCATCTATTGAACTGTGTTAATTTGTAAATCAAACTTTAAACATGCATTATGCAAAAGCTAAATCTGCCTAGTGCAGGTCTTTCTTTAGGCCTGAAACGTTATCCAAATTATTAATTAGACATTAATTAACTTATCCAGACCATAATCAACTCTCGATGTCATCGCTAGCCTGCGATATTTATTGGATTAGGTTCCGATTTGCTGTTCGACGTCCATTCATGATTTAATCATGAAATGGATAATCGAGACTATGTTTGTTATCGTATCGACTTTAGTAATGATGATCGAGGCTAGGCCGAAAATTCAATCGCAAAAATTCAGTTCAGAGTGGATCAATTGGACTGAAATTTTCAGCAAATTCCCTTTACATTATCTAATTTTTAACTATTATAGTGGGAACTGTCAGCTCTTTATTTAATTTCCCATAATGTATCTTTAAGTTCATTTTCTTTTCGTCGCCTATCGTAAAATTATTATGTTAAATGAAAATTAAGTATAAGAGACTTGCATGGCTTTTTGTGAGATTTTATTCAAGGGACGTAGCAGGAAATTTAATTACTCTAATCTTAGGTCAATGGAATGAAACAAAATATTTTGGTAAAAAAGAAGTCGTTCGAATAGAACGAAGTATCGCGGGTCCTGCGAACACATTGGCGTGCAGGTACAAGAATCATTGGCAGTTGGAATTCGATATAAGAGTAGGCGATAGCGCCGCTGTCCGGGCTAAATTTCCCTCATAGCACACATATTGGGCCAGTCGGAGCAGAACAGTAGGGCGTTAAACCCCATTTCATTTCATATGCCCTCTACTGTAACACTCTTCCTGTGTGTGTTTTAGAGAGTTTGTCATTCAAAGATACGTAGAAGGGTGAGAGTTGTAGACTTTATAGTCTCGGCCAGCCAGAACCTCCTAGTCTTCAACGTATGGAGGGTCTGGGACCGTTGTCAATATTTGACGAAAAGTTCCATTGCCCATGCGTAATCGGGAGTTTGTTTTTATGATGTTGATTATCCAGTATATATATGTTGATATACGTTATTATGCTGACAAATATCAGTGGGCTGAGTAAATCGGATATTGTGAAGTTTGGCATATAAATATTTTAGGTTTTTCAATAAACACTAGTAATTGACAAATAACATGAATTAAGAATCACGGAATCGTGGATAAATGTAAGGAAGAAAACATTAAGAAATCATTAGGAATTGGAATTACGTTAATAATGCAATATGTAAGAGATAAATCTTCCTATTGCAGGTCTTTATTTTGGCTTCAAATGCCATATAAACTATCATTTAGACATTTATTCATATGACAAGCTATAATCAACTCAATAGACCATGGGTATACCGAGATTTAATTGGATTAAAACACTCACAGGATTTAAATTATTAAAGATAAAATGGATAAAAGAGAAATATGCCTATACCAATACATCACTTCATACTGGACAAAGCGTAGACGCCTCCATGAGAACCGACACATAATCACGTGACTTAATAGAAACAAACTTTGGTAACGAACTTAACGCTGACTGTAGTGATGAAATGAGAGTGATAGTGATAATACCTCATCTAAAAGTACCGATTCTGACAATGATATAGCAGATATAATTGCTAACTGAACTATGTAACACAACATCACACATTCAGCACTTTCATCTTTGTTGAAATAAAAAATAAAAATTCTTGTGGAAAAATATCCCAAACTTCCTAAAGAAGCAAGAACTCTTCTTCAAACGTTATCTATGAACAAAGTGCCCCCCATTAATTAATTAATCTTGAACCCCATTTTAAACAAAATGACTGTCTGAAGGAAGATGTTATAATCATCCAAGTTAATGTTGATGGTGTCCCGTTTTTTTAAAATTACCAACGGGCAATTTTGGCCCATACTAGGAAAGATCCAGTAACCATTTGTCTCTGGCCCCTTTGTTATCAGGCTTTTCTATTCAATTACCAAAACGAGCAGTCTAGAATTCCTTTCTGAATTTCTAGATGAGTACAGTACAATACATCACAATTTAGGATAGAAAGAAAACGCATTTATTTGTGATGTCCCTGCTCGATACCATTCATGTGAGCTTTACATACAGACAGGTGTGTGGTCCAATGGAAGGATTTCGTATTAAGAACTGATGTAGCCTTCAATGAAATGGTTGATTACGATCATCATCATGAACCCCCTCCTTTTGCTAAGGATTTGGTATGGTCAGTCAGTTTCCATTGGACTACGTGCATTTGGTTGGCTTGGGTGTTATGAATAGGCTATTGCTGTTGTGGGCAAAAGGACCATTAAAAACAAGACAAAGTGCTACGAAAATTAATTTGATTTCTCAATTTTTATAAAAACTGTGTGCCATCTGAATTTGCTCGAAACCCGAGAACTCTTAATGAACAAAAAAGGTGAAAAGGCACAGAATTTCGTCAGTTTTTGTTGTACACACAGGTCCTGTTGTATTGGTTAACATACCTGATGCCATGTACAAGAACGTTTTACTATTATCTGCCAGTACTTATATGTTGCTCCATGAAACTATGTGCATTGAACACAATGATTTTGTACGGGAATTACTAGCCATTTTTGTGGGACATTTTTCTGCCATATATGGATCTGATTTGGTTGTATACAATATACACGATTTTATACATTTACCCGATGATGCTATTAATTATGGTTCGTTAATTAATATATCAGCATTTCAATTTAAAAATTATTTAGGTAGCCTGGAAACATTAGTGCTTAAACCTTCAAATGTTCTTGAACAA